ATTGATGCACTTCAAGGGGTCCAGCATGCTCCAAGGAGGAGTGGTCAGATGGGAACATTGGTATGTTATAAGATGGATTGTAGTTGTATTACCAGACATGCAATAGACCCTAGGAGAGTCAGGGAAAGATGGTTAGTGCACTCTACACAAGTTGCAGGGTGTCCAAGTCAATGTGGACAGGGGCTTCAGTTCTGGATCAATGTTCATTGGTGTTTGTTCATGTTTGTTGCTGTTCATTGGTGTTCGATGGGGTTTGTGCTGCTGTATGGACCTGTGGATCTCCAAAGTAGGTCGATTGCAGTGGTCCTAGGGGGGACAAACACCACTTCAAGGGGTCCAGCATGCCCCAAGGAGGAGTGGTCAGATGGAAATGTTGGTATGTTATACTATGTATGTTATGTGTATTACAAGACATGCAATAGACCTAGGGGAGTCAGCAAAAGATGATTAGTACACTTGAAACAGGTCTCAGGGTGTCCCAGTCAATGTGGACAGGGGCTTCAGTTATGGATCAATGTTCATTGGTGATCATCAGTGTTCGTCCTGCTGTACAGACCTGTGGATGTCCAAATTAGGCTGATTGAGGTGGTCCTAGGGGGACAAACACCATTTCAAGCGATCCAGCATGCTCCGAGGAGGAGTGGTCAGATGGGAACATTGGTATGTTATATCATGTATTTTAGTTGTATTACCAGACATGCAATAGACCCTAGGAGAGTCTGGGAAAGATGGTTAGTGCACTCTAAACAAGTCACAGGGTGTCCAAGTCAATGTGGACAGGGGCTTCAGTTCTGGATCAATGTTCATTGGTGTGGGTTGGTGTTTGTTGGTGTTTGTTGGTGTTCATTGGTGTTCGATGGGGTTCATCCTGCTGTATGGACCTGTGGATGTCCAAATTAGGTTGATTGAGGTGGTCCAAGGGGGGATGAACACTGCTTCAAGCGATCCAGCATGCTCTGAGGAGTGGTCAGATGGGAACATTGGTATGTCTTAAGATGTATTTTAGTTGTATTACCAGACATGCAATAGACATAGGTGAGTCAGGCAAAGATGGTTAGTACACTCAAAACAGGTCTCTGGGTGTCCCTGTCAATGTGGACAGGGGCTTTGGTTCTGGATCAATGTTCATTGGTGTTCGTCAGTGTTCGTCCTGCTGTATGGACCTGTGGATGTCCAAATTAGGTTGACTTTGGTGGTCCTAGGGGGGACAAACACCACTTCAAGGGTCCAGCATGCCATGATGGGGAGTGGTCAGACAGGATCATTGGTATGTTATATCATGTATGTAGGTTGTATTACAAGACATGCAATTGACATAGGAGAGTCAGGCAAAGATGGTTAGCACACTCTAAACAAGTCACAGGGTGTCCCAGTCAATGTGGACAGGGGCTTTGGTTCTGGAACAGTGTTCTTCGGTGTGTGTTGGTGTTTGCCCTGCTGTACAGACCTAGACATGTTCAGAACAGGTCAATTGCAATTGAGCTAGGGGGGATGAACACCATGTCAAGCAGCCCAGCATGCTCCAAGGGGGAGTGGTCAGATGGGAACATCAGAATGTTATAAGATGTATTTTGGTTGTATTACCAGACATGCAATAGACCTAGGAGAGTCTGGGAAAAGTGATTAATGCGTTCCACACAAGTCACAAGGTGTCCCAGTCAATGTGGACAGGGGCATCACTTCTGGAGTGATGTTCGTTGGTGTTCA